CAATTGCATAGTGGTATAGCAGTATAGGGAATCACCCATGGGCCACCTTTCCCCATGATCCAAAACATATGTAGGCCACACTGTATTACAGTAATAAACCAATACTTCCTTGAACATTGGATAATGGCTGTAGGTACCCCAGTCCACTAAAATTCTACCCAGTGGGCTCCCCCAAGGAACCAACCCAGAATGGCCCATGCTGGCCCAGATATAGAACAATCCCAATCCTATGTCCAAAAAAAGCCAGGCAATGTGGGAACATACAGAGAAAACTGGCACCCATGATTCCACTTTATAACAAATGTTCACATGCAAGTTTTCCTGTCAACTAATCTCACAATCCTTGAACTCAACCAATGGCCTCCTCTAAAAGGGCCAGTTTTCATCCAGACCCTGGTTCACAGCCCTAAAATTCAGGTGATCCTTCCTTGTTCCCAGAGTCTACTCCCTACCCAGACCCACTTCCTTTCCACCTTCCAGGCATGTTTAAGCAGCTGATGCCCTTAGTGGGTGTTCTGAGGAACCCCCAGCAGCAGGGAAGCCCCACAGTCCTACTCCCTGGGGGAGTTGACCTGCCACTAGCAGCTAGAGCCACATGTTGGGCACCACTACTGTATCCAACCAGTGGGGTCCTACTGTCTGCTGGCCACAGGGATAACTCTAGATACAGAGTCTGATGGAAAGGAAAATGGAGTGTGTGTGTGTGTGTGTGTGTGTGTGTGTGTGTGTGTGTGTGTGTATGATTATCTGATGTTTACCCCTGTCCCCACCACCAGAGGAGCAAACAGGCTGCTGACAGGTGGCTGCTGCAGTGGTTTCTGATGGATTTGCATCCAGGAGAGGGGTGCAGGGCCTGTTGCTCAGCCAAGCCACCTCTCGAGAACTGCTGACCCTAATCTCCTTTCCCCATGCTGCTGTCTTCTTTTTAGCACCAGTTGTGCTCCTAGTCAGGCCCAAAGTGCTCAGGCCTGACCCTTCCTGGGTGTACTGGGGCTGCAGCCAACTGGCCTACACAGGCATGGGCCACAGGCAGGCAGCAGCCAGTGTGACTTTGTACCTGAGGGAGAGGAGCAGGACTTGTCGGGTTATGCCTCCCTGGGCTCATCACCCTAGCCTCTTCCCTTCCCCTCTTTCCAGAGCTCACTGTGCTCCATGCCTGACCTGGAGCTCTTAGGAAGGGGTCCTGGGAAGTGCTCCTAGACCACCCAGTGCCCAAAGTCCAGAGCCCAGGAACTCCAGCCCCTGTGGGTCCAGAAAGGAGAGAATCTGAGAGATCAACATTTCCATGCACTCTCCTTTTAGGGACAATATTCCAAACAACTGAGTCACCAGGCCAGAACTTTGATGAATTCTCCTTTTAAAGCCTGACCTGGAATATCCACCTGAAGGAAGCAAATGAGAGGGTATGTCCCTCCCAATCAATCATCTTCCTGGTTTTTGGCACCAGTGTTGTGCACCCTTTTTTTGTCCCATGTGCATGTCATCCTGGTTGCCCAGGACACATATGTGCCATGTTTGGTGTTTCTCCACCCTTCCCCATTTCTAGGGGTGAGTTCCTACCATCACAAAATTGCTTGGTCAAAAGGCAGTTCCATTTTTAATTTTTGAGGAAATTCCATACTGTTTTTCACAGTGGCTGCACTAGTCTGCATCCCCACCAACAGTGTATTAGGGTTCCCTTTTCTCCACATCCTCACCATTACTTGTTCTTTGTTGATTTATTAATGATAATCATTCTGACAAATGTGAGGTGATATCTCATTGTGGTTTTAATATGCACCTCTCTGATGGCTACTGATATTGAGCATCTTTTCATCTGTCTGTGATTTAGAGATGAAATCTTTCTCTATCATATCACATCACATTAAATCACATCTTCTTGTGATTGATGGATTCTGTGTAGAAAAATTTGGTTGACACCCAGGAACATATACATTGTACACAGGGAAATATGTTAATATACTGAAATTCAGTTTTGTCAGAGATGCCAATCTAAATTCACACTGCCCACATTTCTAGGTGGCACTCCTACCCCCTTTTAGTTTTACTTCCTCTCCCCTCTGGGCTGAGAAAGTATGCCTGCCTCATAAAAACACATGCCATAAAGAAATGTGGATGAATCAATTTTCTTGAGAGCCTTGGTTTGTTGGACTACAGTCTACTGCCTGATAAAACTTTTCTTTAGTAGATATTTGCTGTATTCTTGGTGTCCATGATGATTATTGGGAACATTGAAGGAATATAGATGCATAAAGAGTGGTGAGAGAAGACCCAAAGAAAATGTCGATCTTGTGTGACGTAACAGCACTTGATCAATTATGGACTGCGTATACAATAGTGGTCCCATAAGCTTATAATGGATTATAAGCAAAAGTTTGTTTGTGTTGTTGAAAGGAAAGGCTGGACACTACTAAGATGTTGAATTTACGGTAGTTTTGGGTGGTTTAAATAGATGAAGAGGTTCTGCATGCTTTCCATCCACTGTGTTCTTGCCCCATATTGAGGCCTGGAATTGACCAGGGGGAGAAAGGGAGTCTGGAAGCTCATCAACCCCCACCTGCCCAAGCCTCTGTTTTCCCCCACCTCTCTTCCCCCCCTTTTATTATTCCTTATCTCATGCTTTATCTATTTGGGTCTATTTTGATATCTGCTCTCCCTTTCTCTCCCCTTCTCTTTCTTCCCTCTCTCCCTTCCTCCCCCACTCCTTTTGATGTCTCTTCTCCCTCAGACAGTGGCTTCCTCCACAGCCCTCCCCTAACCCTGCACAATGTGTATATGTGTGCACACAAACTTTATGTTATATATTATATTTTTACTGTACCTTTTCTATATTTAATTATGTTTAGATATACAAATACATACAACTATGTTATAACTGCTTACAGTATTCAGTACAGTAACATGCTATACAGGTTTGTAGCCTAGGAACAATAGGCTTCATAATAGATATATGGCAGGCTATACCATCTAGGTTTGCGTGAGTATACTCTGTGATGTTTTCACAATGACAAATTTCCTAGCCATGCATTTCTCAGAACATATCCCCATCATTAAGAAATGTGTGACTGTATTTGGACAAGGAAGAGAGAGCCCTGGCTCACACACACAGAAGATCTGGATTTTAGGAGCAGCTCTGTCAGTGATCAGCTGTAAAGACATGGGCAAGTCACTTAACCTCTCTATACCCCAAGTTCCTAATCTGTTTAACAACTGGATTGGACTACAGGCTCTATAACATTCCTTCCATCTCTATGACTAATAAGCTGAGTGTCAGCCAAAATTCTGTCAGACCCACAAGGTACCTAGGGTGGTTCCCTCAGAGATGAAGCCATACTGCAATGTGTAATGGGAAATGACACAGACTTAGTGTCAGATCTTCCAGATGGGGTTGTAAGACAGACCTTTCTGTGCAAAGTTTTTGTCTCTCAGAAACAATTATGGGCTAATTGGTTTATACTGCCTGGTGAGACTGTGTAGAGTAGGAGTTAAGAACATGAATTATAGAGTTGGATCTTAAAGTTTGAAAAACAGTTCTGTTGCTTCCTACTGAGTGCCCTGGAACAAATGATTTGACCTCTCTGAACATCAGTTTCTGCCTCTGTAAGAAGGTGGTAATAGTTAACCTCAAAGGCTTGTGAAGATAAAAGGCACTAATGAATGTAAAGCAGTTAGCTTAGCACTTGGCAAAATGGAAGTGCTCAGTCAACCATGTCTACTATTACTACTGGTGTACTTATTGCTATTAACATAATTTTCCTCCCATGGGCATGGCTAAGCTTCAGCATTTTTCCTGGATATGGCTTTCTCTTTCTGGAGTTTGAGAAAAGCATAAACAAATCTTTCTGGCCTAAAGCAGGTCTAAAGTCAGATCTGGGTTTAGTTTCTTACTATGCTTCATACAGGCTCTGGGATCTTGAGCAAATTATTTAACTTCTCTGTCTTTATCTGTAAAAGGCAGGCAGGTATAGTGCCTACCCCCAAGGATTGTGGTGAATATGATAAGGAATGTGAAGCACTTAGTAGTATGCCTCACATCTAGAAGCCATTCAATAAATGATGGTTGTGATACTGATGGTGAAAATAATCATTGTTGTAAGAATAAAGGATTACCTCCACTACCACTACCCTTCTTGGGATGGAGGGTTAAATGTAGTGAAGTTTGTACAATTTTTGCATACTTAATCGAAGAGTTAGGGAGGCAACAATTGCTGTTCCTATTGGGACAAGAAAGTAATTGTTGCCAGGCCACACCAACAGTGACTGGGAATTTAAAACTAAGTTGTTTTTTGAGGTATGACTGAAAATGATTAGGAGACAATGCTTCTTAGCAAGACAGTTTTATTTATCTTTGCCAGTCCCATTATACCCAAAAACTGTAGGGGGGAAAATGTTATTCTAAACTGGCCCTGTATTTCTAAGGCTCAATTTCAGTTGGTCAGCCAGGACATGTTCACAGGCTTTCTCGGGAGCATCTGGGTGCAAAGATACACAGTCTTTATTCTTTGCCAATGTTGTCTTCATTTTCAAATGGATGATGCTTAACTTTTCTTGAGCTTCTCTGTAGGTGTGAGATTCACTTGATGGTTAGAATACAGACATACAGGAATAATGGGCATTCTTGGGAATATGGTGTTAAAGTAGGTGGAGTTGTAGGAAACTGTAGAGGTATTAACAAATAGAAATTGAAAAGCAGAAGTATTCCTAATGGTTCTGTAGATGAACCCATTTACTGAGGGAGGGATATTAGATATTTCTTTTGATGTCCTTCCATTTTTCTCTTTAGTGCTCTGTTAAAAAGTAAAAAAAAGAGAGAGAAGAAAACAGCCAGTCACTGCAAGTGAAACTAAGCCCCAGGTTTCCTGTCCTTCCCAGACCACTCCAGGTCAAGAGGGTGTTGTCCACTTTCAAAGGGACTGTAGACTGCACCGCAGCAGGCACCCCCTGGCCTCATACTTTCTCTTACTCTTACTCTCTCACTTCTCCCCTTCATCTAAGCAATACTAACCACAGGTTTCAAAGATGTCTTCATAGACATCTTCCAGCACCATCTCCTCCATTTCCCAGGTAGTCATTCTCTTTTTTGGGCTGGGTTCTGGGGTTATAGAAAAGAAAAATTGATTTTAATTTTAGACAGAGATTTAGGGGCAATTTCTGGTGTTTAGAAAACCACATCCTCTGTTCTTCTACTAGATTTCTTCCACTCAACTCTCATCTTCACCCCTCATCCCCAGATCAGTGCCCTTTTCCCCTTCAGTTCTTCTGGCCAAGTTCAGGCCCCTCCATATAGGTGTAGCAACCCAAGACACTGGGGTAGCCTGAGGACCAGATCCCTTGGAGAGCATAGGTGACATTATAATATTGATAGTTGACCATCACAGTGACTGAGGTCCCAGGAAACATTGAGAAGGAGAGGCCATTAACAACAATGGGCCTTCAAGTCCTCATGCTTTTTCTTTAATGTCTTTGTTATATTGGGAAAAATCATATATGCTTATTATAAAAAGAAAATTTCCAATAAAACAAAAATCCAAAGAAAGGCACCTAGGTATTTTGCTTCTCACCTAGTATATCACCCCTAGAAGAAATGACTACTTATGTTTCAGTTACTTTTCTCCAGATATTCTATACATGTGTATATATCATGCTATACATGTTATATTCTGACTTACCATTTTCTCTAACAAAACACAGGGTTATGGAAAATTGTCCACGTTAGTAAATATAAGCCAACAATAGCGCTTTTAATGTCTGCATAGTATTCCATTATGTGGATGCAGCATAATTAATTTAGCCATTTCCCACTGTTAGACATTTAGCTTGTTTCCAACTTTTGGTTATTGTATACCATGCTGTGACTGAACAATCACAGGCATACTTTTGGGGGGAGGAGATACTTGTGTAATTATCTTTGGATATAGTTCAAGAAATGATTGGTTCATAGGGTTTCCACATTTTTTAAAGTTCCCTCTCTCTCTCTGTGTATGTGTGTGTGTGTATATATAATCATTTTTTACTCCCACCACTAGAAATTATAACTTTTAAGATAACCCTATACCCATGCAAACAAAGATTGTGTGCCAGCCAGTTCTGAGCCATCTTACTGGACTACCAGGTGGGGGACCCCAAGTACTCTGCCTGTCCTTCATCCACTTCTCTTTCTCCTGACCATCAATCATAGTATGAGAAAAGAGTTTCTGACTCAAAATAGAAATACTGTTTTATAAATCATGAGAGAAGGTCTATATATTTTTTCTTCTATGACTAACCAGTTTCAGCATTACCTTAAAAAAGATCAACATTACCTTCAAAAAGATCATCATCATCATCATAATCATTATCATCAGTATAAGTTGCTGAGGGCTAAAAGTCAGCATCCTGATTGTAGTGAAGCTCAGTAGTGTTTCAAGCTCCATTTTCCCCAGAATATTCTCCTTCTTCTGTGGGTTCATCTAAAGCAAATGTCACTGATGTAGTCTTTCTAGGTCTTAATCTTAAGCCTTCTATACTGCAAGAATATGAAGGGGGAGGGGGAGTCACTTGGTGCCCAAGAATTTAGAGACTGGCCTTTGGGGCAATAACATTTAAATAGCCATTTACCTGTAGAATTGGCTTTAGGAGCCTAGATTCCATTGAATGTTGTCCTAGAGGCTGTTCTTTTTCTTCAGACATTTCTATACTGGCAGGGAATCTTGGGAAGATGGAAAGGACAAAGCAAAAGTGAAAACAGACACACTTCAAGCTCCTTAATTTAATGTAGCTGTTACCCCATTCCTGACACATACTTTTGAACAATCAAAAGGACAATAGAGAAAAAGGACCTTTAAGCCTTTTACTCCTCAAAACCTTGATCACTTGTTTTCTTCTTCTTTTTTGTATTCTCCTTTACTCCCATCTTGCCTTATTATTGGATCAGAGAGTTGTAAGTGTAGAATGTGGTATGACTCCAGGATGGTCATGCAGAGAATATGACCTATAAGTTCCTCCTTCAGGCTCATGTTTCTTTTCTCCTCCACATGGCAAACCAGGTATTAGAAACCCTGTTTTGGAGAAGCTCTAATGTTGATAGGTTGGCTTTACCTTTCTGCAACTCTTCCCACTAACGTGACCACTTAAGTTGTGCCACTGGGGAGGGTGTACCTGTCAATGATGGAATTTTTATGGTCACTGGCCTACCCCTATTTGAGCCAACAATTTTGAGAGACTTGTTCAGAACCCCAGAGAATCCAAGCACCTCCCAGAACTCTCTGCTTATACTGAAGACTGACTCCTGCTTCTGTTCCTAACAGTGAACCTAATAGAGGCAGCTCAGTACCTGTCTGATACATATCTTTCCTCGAAGCCTGTGGTGTTCTTAGAGGTTGGGATACTTGAGGGGAGTGACTTTTGGCAAGTACACAGCTCTTCCTGTTTATTCTCAATGAATGCTAACAGCCAGCACAACCCTTCAATTATAGGCTGATTGTTCCTTCTTTGGAGGTTTTTGATAGCTGAACAGTATTCCTGTGACAAAAAGAGAAGACTCCAGTTCAGAAACCTGGGACCACTGGGGACTATATTCAGTATCACTCTCAGCCAAGGAGCAGAGGTACACATAAGATCTAGAGAGGCTCTAAGATTTTCTAGGAGACACTCAACATTTACACTTGAGAAGGTAAATGAAAGCTACAAAAGCTAAGGTCATTTATAAAGTGATTGTGGTGTAATGTCTCAGATATGTGACCTTGGGCAAGTCACTTAGAGTCTTTGAGCCTCATCCATAAAATAAAGATACTGAAGCTTCCAATTTTACAGAGAACTTTTGTAGGCCTAGTGAGAAAACAGGTGTGAGTTTTATGAGTGTGATACTGATTATCACTGTTGAGCCAGAAATCATCTTTGTAGATGTTGCCTGGGAGGGAGAGGCTTTGCCTGAGAGCCAGCATATGGGACTGACTATGGAATGGTACAAAGTATGCATAAGTTGGGCTTGAGGGGTAAGGGAGGGGAAGAGCTGACACTTACTACTTGGCACATGGACTTGTTCTCATTCAGTATCCCTTCCAGAAATAGATAATAATATCACAAGGTAAGAGGGCATTCTTCTTGTCTTGCCTGTTTGCTATCTTAGAGCAGGGCACAGGAGAGAGAGTGGTAAGAAGAGAGGAAGGGTAAACCAGAAATAGAGGCCAAGGGCAAGAAAATAAAGGAAAGAAGGGGAGAACCAATTCTGGCACAACTGCTACATATCCAAGAACTAGCTTTAAATCCATACACAAAGAGTTGAGCCAGAAATTTTTTAAACCAACTCTCAGTGGAGAAAAGAACAGCACAAGTTATTTGGATCCAAGATAATCTCCACACCTCATTTTTTACTTTCTCTCTACACTATGTCATCACATTTTAATTAAAATTGCTAACTGATATATTAACAGATTTGGAGTTTTTAATATCCTCTCCCATATTCTGTTCATGCTTGAGTTGGGGGTGCTAATGAGTAACAAAAATGCAAAAATGGAGTCAGGGGTGAACATTGATGGGCTGCCTGAAGTATCACCCTGGATTCAGTGCTAGTTACATGACTTTTGGGTAGTCTGCTAAGGGAGGAAAGCATTGGCATCAATTATACAAAATAGGGGTGGTTTTCTGCCACCATTTCAGTGTCTGAGACTGAATCCAGAAATGAGAATCAAATGCAGGAAGACAGTCTTCAGAAATAGTTGAGGGGTGGGAATGGGAGATCTAGATATTACTCTCCATTTCCTGTGCTTTCAACATTGACTTTGCACAATTAGGTAACATGTTCAGCCATGGCAGTGTATGGTAGAAAGTTACTCTTTAAAACAGATCACAGAGATCTGAGCCACTCCCCCCCTAATTTAACTTAAGGAAAGAGGAAGTTTAACTAGATGAGACAAAGGGACCAGCCAACTCTTTCTTTGTCTACTTGTTTTCTGAGGGCACAAAATGGAAAGGGGAAATTGAGCACAAAGTTGGAGGCTTACAGTAGGATGGGTTTCCCTGCCACTCTTGTACCAGACAGCAGACTTGTTAAGGCGATCTTTACTTCCTGCATGTGTCTTAGGTAGCTGGAATCCAGGACAAAAACAAGCCCATGTGCCTGTGTATAGTAGTTGGGCCACATTTCTTGGTCTTTCATATCTCCATTCAGGTCATAAATGGAAACTTCATGTTCATCTAGCTGGACTGTAGCCAGTTTAGATTTCATACAAGGGTCTATCTTGCTAGGAAGTACTATGTGTAGGGGAAGAGATGAGTGTTTCTCCTCCACAAAGCAGAGGTATATAGTTAGATGAATTTGTTAAACAAACTTTGACTAGTGCCTGCCCTGAGTAAATCTACTGAGGCATCCAGACATCCTGCTGACTCACAAATTTATCTTCCTAAACCAACACTTTGCCCAAGCTACCCTGTCCTAACTCAGTAATATTCAGTGATTGGGCACTGCTACCAGGATAGAATACAGACTCCTTTGCTTTCTAACCTGACAGACCTATTTCTACCATGTCTGGTCTCCACACTGTCCTTGGTATACACCCAACCTCTTCCTCCCTCTGCTCCTTGGCTCACACTCCCCTCATTCCGCAAGAATGCCACGCTCTCTTGTGTCCTGGGCCTTCACAAGATGCTATTCCCACAGGTTAGAATATTTCTTCCATTGCCCTTTCCTTGGTTAATGTGTATTTAAAAAAATATATCAGTTTAGGCCCTGACTGGTGTGGTTCAGTTGGTTGGACATCATGGTGCAAAGAGAGTGGTCACTGTTTTGATTCCTGGGTCAGGGCACATAACTGGGTTGCAGGTTTGGTCTCTAGTTGGGGTGCATGTGAGAGGTAATCGATTGATGTTTCTCACATTAATGTTTCTCTGCCTCTCTTTCTCCCTCTCTTCCATTCGCTCTAAAAATAAATACTGTACTTTTCCACATATAATGTGCTCCTGTATACAATGCACATGCACATATTTGGCTCAGACTTTCAGGAAAAAATATTTTGATTTATTTAGAAAAAAAACCACCTATCATATTCCAAGGTATTATTTTTTAATTCTTTAAATATATTTTATTGATTATGCTATTACAGTTGTCCCATTCCGCCCTTCATTCCCTTTCACCCTATACACCCTCTCCCACCCATATTCCCCCCTTTAGTTCATGTCCATGTGTCTTAAGTTCTTTAGTTTTTACATTTCCCATACTATTCTTGCCTTCCCCTGTCTATTTTCCACCTACTGATACAGGGTGCAGCCGGGGGGGGGGCCCAAAAAAGATTTGGAATGGTGTTCAGAGTTCGGGGTGTGTGGGAATATTGGAGAGACATATAAGATGTCCTCACCCCCCCCCACAGGGGGAAGAAAGAATGGAGCCAGGGCCATTGAGAGCTATTTTGCATAGCAACAGTTTTGGAGCTAACCTCTGGAGGAATGGTTATTTAACATATCTATAACCTTTAACTGGTTTCATAGATATGTTAAATAGCAGTGGCCAAGTTTGGAGCCAGGGAGAAGAGAGCAGCTTGGGGACTCAAGATGGAACTAGCAGGGACTCAGGATGGAACTGGAGGGACTCAGGATGGAACTAGGAGGACTCAAGATGGGAACTGAGAGGCTGCTCTCCTGAGTGAGGAGGGCTTGGACTCAGGATGTAACTAAGGAGCTGCACACCTGAGTTAGAAGGGAGTAGCTGGGACTCAGGAGGTAATGAGGGGCTGCGCCCCTGAGGGAGGGTGCTGCTGTGTGGGAGCTTGGAAAAGACTGGCTCCAAGATATGAAGGGTCCCCGCTTGGCCAGATGGAGAGAGAGCCACGTGGTTTCAGCAGAGTGAGGACCCCCTCTAGGTGAGGTGAAGGAGGGAGCCACGTGGTTTTGGCAGGGTGTGGACCCCCTCTTTCCCAGGTGAAAGGGAAAAACCACGCAGCTTTGCCAGAATGGAGATCCCTGCAGCCAGGTGAAGAAGAAAGCCACATGCTTTTGGTGGAGTGCAGACTCCTGCAGCTTTGGTAGAAGAGGCCACACGGCTTTGGGGTGCCCCCTTTGGCCGCGTGGCCTGAAAAAGCAAGAGAGACTTTGACTGGAACTGGGTACAAAGGACTCTTGCCAGTGGACCGTGAGGGGGTACCACAGTACTTTGGATTAACTCGAGATCCTGCCTGCACGGTGACACAGCTGACGGTGCCAGCGGCCTGAAAAAGGGACGTGTGCTCTTTTCCTGATTTACGGTACCCGGAGTTGGGACAGTGGGAGAAGGGAACGCTGTGTGGGTGTAGGTGTATACCCTAAAGGACTTTGATATTTTAGTGGAGGCATTAGGCCTGAATAGCATTAAATAAACATTTTGTTTCCTTTTCACAAATCTCTGGCATTAAGAGATGTCTTTCTAATTGGCAGCGGACAGAAGGGCCCAGTAGATTTTAGTATTTTGTTTTCGGGAGGGGCCCCTGTTGTATAGCAGTTTTGGGCATCCCTAGATGGGCCAAATATTGTCTGCCCCTCCCTCGGACCTCCTCCTCTTGTTCGGTAACAGTTTTTGGCGACCCAGATGGGACGATAATTGTCCGTGGCAGACCGACCCCCTCAGGTGCGAGAAAGTGAGGCTTTGGAATTTTCCCAGTCTCTGAGGATTCCTCTGCGCTCTTGAGGGCATGGGCTGCCTAGTCACGCCTGGAAAGGTGAAAAGGAAACAAAACGGGGAAGGAGCAGAGATGTGAAAGTGTTTTGGGTTGAAAAACTTGGTTTCTGAGTGCTCTTTTGCAATAATGGAGCTGGAACGGTGGGTGATAGCAGGGGAAATACCTGGTCTTTACGCCACCTGTATTCTTTTTGCTCTGAACCTTTGTTTGCTTTGTTGGAACTGTATGAGTAGTTCTACAGGGAAGCATGTAATGGTCCAGAAGGAGAAAGCGGTCTTAGAACCCCTTCCTGATAATAGATCACAGGAGGAGAAAGATGATGAGGAAAGAAACCTCATCAATGTCCTGAACCCAGGGAATGAGGGACCCCAGACAGCGGTAACTCCCGTGGTGACACCGGTCTCTGGGGAGGTGAGGCCCACTGTAGCTTCTGCCCTGCAAGTGGGAGAAGTCTCCACCATGGATTCGCAGCCTCTGCAAGTGGGCTCTGCTCACCCACTGCAGCAGGAGTTGCCAGGAGCCGAAAACGGAGCTGCAGAGCCCCCACCTTCACAGGTGAGTGGAGCCTGCTCTCCACCTGCATTGGTGACTGCAGCTTCAGTGCACCACCCCCACTGGGTAGAGGGTGGCTTATTGGTGCCCCCTTGCCTGTGGGTGGAAGGGGCCTTGGGGGCTTCCGGGGCTCCTGAAACCGGAGTCCTGGAACCTTCCCAGGTGGGTGGAAACAGAGTCGGGGTGCTGCCATTTTGGGTAAAGTGGATGAGCCACGTGAGTGCCCCACCATGGAGGACAGAGCATGCACGGGTGCCGCCATGTTGGAACTGGATAAGGCTTCTCTTCTGATTTATGCTGCTGCTGTGTGGGCACTGCAACAGTCAGGTTATCTGTGTAATTGGTTCTAATAGTAATGGCTCTGGTTTTGAAGGTCATGAACTGAGGTCCAAGAGTGACCATCTGCTTTATATGGTATTTGCAAGGTCTAAGTTTCAGAAAGGTGCAAAATGTCCCTATGAATCTAGGGACTTTTAGTGGAAGGTACCTGTAGTGCTATGGACTTTTAGCTGCCACATACTGAGCTTAAGTATAGTCCTTCCCAGTGTGGGAAAGGGACCAAGATTAAAAGAGAGTGATGGTTAAATCTAGATGAGTAGAAATATGTATAAAGGATATGAAAGTTTTAAACCTGGAATAAAGGAAACCTCAACTACTTGTTTTCTAATTTCATGGGAAATGCAAATTTCTCTGCCATTGGTTTTGCTTCTGTTTCTGATCAGAAACCTGTATTGTAAGACCTAGGAAAGGTCACTGTAACTGGTTGGGGAGAATGCCTTTGCTACCTGGGACCCAGGAAGGGTCAATTAGGGCTGATGAGTGTATCAGCCTGAGGCAAAGAGCATATCTCTGCCAAGAGACCGGGCTTGAAGGAGCACATCTCTGTACCTGTATTATAAGACTTAGTGGTCACTGTAGCCGGTTGGGGAGAATGCCTTTGCCATCCGGGACCCAGGAAGGGTCAATTGTGGCTGATGAGTGTTTCAGCCTGAGGCAAAGAGCATATCTCTGCCAAGAGACCGGGCCTGAAGGAGCATGTCTCCAAACCTGTATCTGAAGACCTAGGAAAGGTCACCTGTAGCCAGTTGGGGAGAGTGATTTTGCCACCTGGGACCCAGGAAGGGTCATTTGGGGCTGATGAGTGTATCAGCCTGAGGCAAAGCAGCATGTCTCCACCAAGAGACCGGGCCTGAAGGAGCAGGTCTCCGTACCTGTATTATAAGACCTAGTGGTCACTGTAGCCGGTTGGGGAGAATGCCTTTGCCACCCAGGACCCAGGAAGGGTCATTTGGGGCTGATAAGTGTTTCAGCCTGAGGCAAAGCAGCATGTCTCTGCCATGAGACCGGATTGGAAGAGAGTAAGTCTCTGCCATTGGTTTTGCTTCTGATCAGAAACCCTGTGTACTTGAAGACCTAAGAAAGGTCACCTGTAACCGGTTGGGGAGAATGCCTTTGCCACCTGGGACCCAGGAAGGGTCATTTAGGGCTGATGAGTACTTCAGCCTGACGCAAAGCAGCATGTCTCTGCCATGAGACTGGGCCTGAAGGAGCATGTCTCCAAACCTGTATCTAAAGACCTAGGAAAGGTCACCTGTAACCGGTTGGGGAGAATGCTTTTGCCACCTGGGACCCAGGAAGGGTCAATTGTGGCTGATGAGTGTATCAGCCTGAGGCAAAGCAGCATGTCTCCACCAAGAGACCGGGCCTGAAGGAGCATGTCTCTGCAAGGCACCAGTGGACACATTGGTGCAAGAGAATGTCTCTACCTGTATTGTTTCGAAACTCTGTATTTTGGATTTTGCTCTGTATCTGCTCTGAAAAGGAAATTGAGGATTCCAAGAAAGGTTAAAACTTCATACTCTGTAAAAAAGTGAACAAAAGAAAGTATAAGATACGGAAATGAAGAAGTGTATAAAAGGTTGTAGAAGTTTTTTGAATGTTGCTGAAGGGCTGTGAGAAGCTGTGAAGATAGAAGAGGGTGTGTAAAAGGTTGTAGAAGTTTGCAAAAGTTTTGGAAAGGAATTATGTGAAGTTAGTACTGGAAGGTATAAAGCATGGAAATGCAATCTTAGTGGATATCAGAAGGGAAAAGGATTTTCCATTATGATTTATATTTTTCTCCCTACCCGATCTCCAGAATTTGGCATTCTAAAGGAATGAGTGATGACATAAGGTTTCTTTGCATAAAACCAATAAGACCAGTCTTTAATAGTGGTTTTGTTAACCAGGACTTTGACTGGAATGTCACGCCTGAAGGAGGCATATGGGTTCTGGTCATTACCAGAAAGCTCAGAGGAACTGGAATTGACCTGTGAAGCTAGTGAAAG